AGTTTATTATTGCTAAAATCTTGAATAATTGTTGGCTTGGTAATCTTGTTTTGGGCTCTGTCACACCATTTGATGCACTTGAAAAGCAAGCATTAGACCAAAAGTTTAGCCTGTGGGTGTTGACAATAGCTACACCCCCTTAAAAATACCCCCCCACACACACACACACACGTCTTACCTCGTGTCCATATTTCCACGAAAAATATATTTTTAATCTTGTGTAAATAAAATTCTCTCTTCGTAGGAGAGACACGGGTTTCCTGGGTGCAAGTTTCGGTTAGATGTAATGGAGTTTTGTTGTGTATTTGTTGGTTCCAAATTTGGGACCAAGAAGATGTGATGTGTTCTTTTACTTTCGGTTTCATGTCAGAGAAAAGGATTTTACTATTTGTGAGGCAGCGTGGTGGAATCGGGCTCTCGTCAAAATTATCAAAGTGAAGAAACTTGCTTTTTCTAATGGTTTGTGAATATCAAATTTGTTTTTTGGCTCAACACCTTTCATGCCCATTAAAGAACTAATTTCTGTGTTGAATTACTGAAAAACGATGAAAGGCGCACAAAAAAATGAAAATTCAGTTACATCAGACTCTAAAGCTAAGGAAATAACAAATCTTTAGAGGCTATATTCTCACAAATTTTACCTCTGAAAACAGGTGATGCCACCTCTTTCATTCGCATATATCTTGACTTTTATTCAAGATAAATGAATATTATTTTCGTCCAAATAAAGACGTGAACAAGTTTTAAGATGATACCAATAACTCTACATGCCCAAAAATTGAGCCCGATTCCACCACGCTGCCTCAAATTTGTTTTCAGAAAGTTTTAGAGATTCTTGGTGGCAAATTGGTCAACGGCTTCGTTGCCGTCAATGCCTATATGGCTTGGAAGCCAAGCTATTGTAATAGTTTTTTCCAGACTATGTAGAAAATGCAGTTTAATTATAAGTTTTAAAATTCTGTTGTCGGGGTTTTTTTGATTGATTGGGTAGATGTTTTACGGCACTATCGACACAATTTTGGTCATTTAAGCGCCATCAGGTTTCACCGCTACAAAATCAGACGTGTTTTTAATAAGAGTCTTTCTGAGCTCGCAACCGCAAACGATCACACTATTTCTATTATGCTAAAAAGACGAACAAACATTTATAA